ATTCCTCCAAGTCCAGCCTCTCTTCACGTTGAAGCTGTGTGCCGACGCATCATTCGCCGGCAGCACCAGCTGTCTTGTGGACGGAGTGGCTAAGAGCAGAGGCAGAGACGGTCGGGTTAGCATTTCGGCCCTTGCATAACGGGACTCGAACTCTGGCCTTTCCACGGTGCCGCACGGCTGTGCACCTCTGGATGAAATAATCGGTGAATGGTTGATAAGTTGATAGATATTTTATCGATACTGCCAGTATACATGACATTTATTCACGGTATTTCGTTTCACGTGATTAGGTGACTATTAGTTCAATTGTTCCCACATGATATGAGGAGATCTTAAGTTTCCAGTGAATTCACATATCCTTGCTTTCCAAATGGCATTATCATACCGGCTAGAGTGGACTCCCATTTAGATCCCGCCCAGCACCCCCTGCCGCAATAGAACCATGGCAATACAACATGAAATCACGACCAGTTAACCACTACGCCACATTGTCATGAGTGTCCACGCATCACAGGGCAGATGCCAATGTCAATAAAGGCCAGGCATCTTCCTATATCACATTCTGTGGTAGATTTTCAATAGAGCAAAGGTATTTTTAGTTTAAAAGTAGGTCTCCGAGACTTCCAGTAGATCATCCGGATATGAAGTTTATTCAACTTTTACATTTAAGGTGGTAAGGGGCCGGGTAGTTAAATTTTCCCACAATGATATGAGTAGAGCCTTAACTTGTTAGAAGCTAGCATATCTTTCAGTTCGCATTAAGCTGTAAGTGGAAGGGATCGGTGGATTTGCTTCACCGAAAGTCGGCGGAGGATTAAAATGGAGTTGAAAGTGTAGAGTAGTGCAAATAGGTCACGATTCACCAAGATACAGCACCTGTAAGGTTAGTTTACGGACCCTTTTGATAAGGCTCTTCAGACGAAAAAAAATTTTTTTTTCTTTTAAGTATAGCAAATACAACCCTGCTTCATCGACATTCTCACGGCAGAATATAATATGGAAAAATATCTGGCCTTCCCTCAAATTCGTATCTACCATGTCACCCAAGGGCACCCGTGACAATGTGGCTTAGTGATTAACTTGTTAAGGTGATACGCTGCACTGTCATGGTTCGAGTCCCGATGGAGCTCGAAACTCCATTCCACTTCACCCTGGAAGAAAATACCTTTATTATGTAAATATTCAATGGAAACGTAATGTCTACTCATATTATTGTGGTAAGATTCAACTACAAGTCCCTTTATCACCTTAAACGAAATCGGGTGAGCCCATCTCATACGAAAGAAAAGAAGACCAGCTTTGGGTAAATTATCGACAAACTTGCAATTTTGTGTTCCTTTGGGAGAGACGTAATAATATGTACCTGATCTTTATGACATCTTTCATCAATCAGAAGCTGGGCTATACAATATTTTGGGCATGAGGAGACACGATTTTAGGGATAAAAGTATAGATGAAACTTGATTTCGAATAGAACAGATGAGATTTATAGTTTAAATATGAGTAGAGAGCGTATAATAAGCATAAAGTAGTCAACCAAATCATGGAATCGCAGATATGAGGACCAGGATGCCGTGGCATCTTCTTTGTCCGTAGTCTCCTTTAGCTGTATAGTCTTGGATTGACCTCGTTTTCGCAAACCAACAAATTATTAGGATTGGGTTCATCGATTTTGCAAAAAAGGGCACCAAGTATTTCTTTGTACAACCCAACAGTCTTCCTTGCACTCGAAGACGATCCTCCTTTGGTTTCCGGTGAGGCCACTTCACCAATCGCTTTCAACTAACTTTTCACTCGAAATGGAAAGTCGAGTAGCTCAGTCAAATTTGTTGGGGAAATCTTAGCTTAATTTTAGAAGGTCAACATTTCGTTAAATGGTATTGAAGAAAATCCCAAACTTGTGCCTGTGTGTATGAAGAAAGGATGGATTTTGAAGAACTCCTTAAAAAATCCATATGACTTGACTGCTCATGTATAAAGAAATGTAGATTAGAGGGGCTTTGATTGCTGATTTGTGTTATCAATTCCTAGAATGTGTCTACTGAAGATACTATTGTCCACGATGTGAAATACGACGGCAGAGTAGGAAAACTGTGTACCAACAATTCGTTCGCATAAATCAGCACAACAATGGTAAAGCTGTACTGTCTCGACTTTCGGTAAACCCAAATAACGAATCCCGTCTAACTTTCCTATTTCATTGGATAGAGCTTAACCTTGCCGCCCAAAAGGGTTTGTCTTCAGGGTTAGACTGTGGTTTCAACTCGAAAAGCCTTGTCGTGAGGAGCGATACTATGTCCTCACGATTTCCTAACCCATTTTTGAAGCCCGTCAAGAACGCTGGTGAGATTTAAGCGATGCCGAATTTACAGTCCAGTATGGAGTAGAAAATCTTCTGGCAGGCAAGACCAAGAGAAGTTCAATAGCATCATGTATTCTGCTCATGTAATTGTGGGAAAATCCTAACTGAGGCCTTAATTCAGATTGAAGGACTTTGATTTGTTAAGTTCAAATTCTAAAATTCCAAAATCTAAAATATGCTTGTGAATGTGTTTGTTCTACTTTCATCGAAGTCGCGCTTTGATAACGAGGTAATGCCGAATTGTATTCTTCTCATCTACCAGATTCCCAGTGTAGACGTGTTATGAGGGCGGGAAATTACTTTGTACTGCAGATGTTTAACGCTGATTTAGAATTTCGTCGAAAATTTACTTCGTCGTGGATGTACAACCAATTAGCAACTTTCAGCGAAGTGATAATCCACCAGCATGGCATTATATCTGTCAGTTACTCGCTTCTTTTAATCCGCTGAAGGCATATTTTCACTATTACGAGATGTATTCACCCTATTTCGTCTAAGGTTATGAAGGACTGGTAGTAGAATTTTCCCACAATGATATGAGTGGAGCTGACATTTCCATTGAATTTCACATAGCTTTGCAATCCCAAAAGTTGTTTGGGAAAACGAGAA